AAGACCCTCTATGAGATGGATTGATTCGGTGACTGGGGTAATCGGGATGGGTGTGTCAGAGGCAGTGCGGTTGGCGCAGGATAGAGCAGGATTTAGGGCTGTTATGCATAGCGTCGCTATGAGTTGCAAACGACTTGACGGCACATAACAACAACAACAATATCTTTTTTCATTTGAAATAATTCCAAACTTACAGAAAAGTTGAAAGAATGCAAAGAACTCCTTTTTAACCTTTAAACCAAATTACCGATAATGAATATTTTGTCATTTTCCTCTCATTCCTCTTATACATAATATATTTATTACACATACACATATTTCCCCTGAACCACTGGAGGGTAGAGTCCTCATATCATACTCCTTCACTTCTCTTATGGATTGAACTGTGTCTTCCAAAAATTTGTTGTAAATGCTAACTTCTATGCCCATGTTAGAATTTCATTTTGGAATGGGTTGTCTTATGTAAATGAGGCAGGATTAGTATAGGATTTTGTTTGTTTGTTTGTTCTTTATAAGTCATAGTTGACTCAATGGCATCTATCAACAATTTTACTCTCAATTTCAAAGAAAAACTTTTCCTCTCTTGGGGCACTTGCTGATCTTATGTCAAAGTGGTCTTCCCATTACAGTACACCCCTTCCTATTAAAGTACGACTCCCCCCCCAACTATTGTCACTGAAGTTGTTGGGGAATGTTGGGGAGGAGGGGTGGCCCCGGCCAGGGCAGATCACCTGGCTCCGGATAAGTGCAAGCCTATCTGACCCATCAGCCCTTAATATGGGATAGAGAAAGCTCTCCTGTGTTTGGCTGTACTGGCTTGAGAAAATTCGCCACCTGGGAAGATGGCTGCTGCATCTGTTGAGCTGGGAGTGGTCTGCACTGGGCTGAGGTTCTGCTGTCCAATCCACATACTCCACATCTACAAATCTACCCCATCTTGTCTTCCTGTTTACATGCCTGTATATAAATGCACTGTAACCCCCAATAAAGTTGAGTCAGCTCTCTGAAGCACTCCTGGTGTGGTGTGTCTCTATCATACTTACCCCCATCAGGGTGTTGCTGCTCCCCTCTGGCAAATCGACAGCGACATGCAGTAACAAAGCTTTCTGGGCAAAGCTTCTCCCTATCAAAGTTTGGATTAATTTATTTGACATCCCGTTTCATAAAACCCAGTCTTGGCTAGCTGCTGTGTGTGTGCCCAGTTCCAGGGAATGTCACCGTGAACCAGCAACCCTGGTCTTCTTTGAGGCAGCTTCGTTCTTATTGTAGTTAAAATTTTGAGTATGACTAGGAGCAAGCCTGTGAATGCCGAACCTTTTCCAGTCCTGCTTCGTGCTAGTGGGATGGAAATGGGAGGAGAGGGCTGCAGAGAAGTGGCCGATTTCAGGGCATCCACACTGCTCTAAGCCATGGAACCATCAAGTCACGATGTTTCATGATCCTCTTGGATTCTTGCATTACTTACCTGTTGCCTTTCCTCAGCAGTTTAAATGGAGATAACCAAACTGACTTCTGATGCTGACTCATGGTGACCTCCATCAGGTTTCTGAGGCTGTGAATTTTAATGGGAGGAGACTGCCCATCTTTTTGACTGGCAGAGGCTGGTGGGTTAGAATTCTCAACTTCTGGTTAGCAGCCCAACAGCTAAATGGAGATAAGGGTTCCGGTTAGAAGTCTCATAATTTCCTTTCAGACTTTTGTGGATTTTGGGTTCTACAGAGTAGTCATCTTGGCATATATAACTCTGTGCATCTGGCCCTCTTCTTTCATTGTTGTGTGTGTGTCTTTGAGTCAATTCTGACACATTTTAAGTCCATGTGACAGAGTCCAATTGTCCTGTATTGTTTCCTTGGTTATAATTTTAAAAAATATTTATCAGTTTTTTATAATTGCACATTTTCTTTCCACTTCCTCCTCTTCCTTTCTCTCAGCTCACCCCACAATGTGCTCCTTACTCCAGATTGTTGTCATACATATAATGCCTAATCATATATTCCTTTTAGTCAGTTCTTCCCTTCATTTGTTCTAATGCAATGTTCATTATCTATCCACACTTTCCCATTCTCTCCTCAACATCCTTATGTCTGTCTTATTTATTTTTTAGATTTTAAAGTATATATATTATAGATAATATGTATATTTAAAATTGGGTTTCCTCACAAAGTTTGTATACATAATGTTTCACACTATTCTTCATTCATATTGCTATACAGTGTTTGTCCTTTTGCGACTGAGATATTTCACTCAGTATGATGTCCTCCAGGCTTACCCATGTTGTGTAATGCTTTGTGAGTTCATTATTTTTCAATGCTGTATAATATTCCATTGTGTGAATGTTCCATAGTTTTTCTATCCATTCATTTGTTAATGGGTTGGTTTTAATTTTTACCAGAGTGGGTCACTGGAACAACTGATGGTTTTGAACTGTTGACTTTTTCCTTATGTTCTTAATCCTTGTGCCAGCAGGGCTCCCCGTTTCTATGGCATGAGTTTGCAACCTATAAAAAAACTCCACTGCTGTAGTTATTTACAACTCACGTTGCAAAGTAGAGCTGAGCTCCAATACCATGGTTTGAAAGAAAGAAACAATAGTTCACAAGGCCTTTTGGAAGCCGATAATCAGGTCTTTCTTTCTAGGCACCTCTGGGTGAGTTTGAACCATCAACCTTTCAGTTAATGGTCAAATGATTAACCAGTATACTCTTCATGCCTTTGCATACTTGTAATTTGTTTTTTATTATAAAATATACATACAGAGAAGTATGTTTTACACACATACATTAAAAGGAATAAGCAAGAATGTCATATACCCTAGAATATTGCCCCTGGATGAGCATTTGGGGGCTGATAGGCAATGTAGAGTGGAATGGAGAGATGTTCCTACCCCTCGGTTGGGGCTCAGCTGGCCCTTTGGCTCTCACTTTCCCCCTCCTCTTGAAAGGACCTGTGAGAAGCTTAGAACCTACTGGGCTCAGGTCAAACAAGATTTTCTAGACCAGACATATGCCTACAGGAGTCCTTGGGTGGTGCAAACAGTCAAGATCCTCGGCTGCAGCCACCTCAGAAGGAAGGCCTGGAGATGTGCTTCCAAGAAAAGCAGTCATTGAAAACCTACGGGTACACATGAGCTTGCCATGAATCAGAACCGACTCACCAACAACTGATTCTATGCCTAGGAGCAACATATACAGGACTGCTGGCCTTACACACATCCTCAGAGAGCGTCAAAGTTTGAAATGTTAGTTAATGATGAGTAGATGACAGGAATGGCATGTTTCCCTCATTTACAAAAAGATTTAAAAAACTTCTTAAAGGACCATCTTGGCATCTTTGGAGGGGTCAGGGGTACAGGAGAAGGAAACAAGCCACTGTGGGGAGGCCTGTCTACCCCTGGGCAGCCAAAAGGCCCGTAGGGGCATTTGATACCACTGTGAGTCATAGGGGACCAGAAACCTCAGCCAGGAGGCTCATGGAGGAGAGGATGCCGGGAGGGCCGGGCTCAGAGCACCATGTTCCACCACTTGAAGGAGAAGGGCTGCCGGCGCACGTTGGTGCCACAGTGCACCTCGCCGTGCAGCATGTGGTACGGGGTGAAGTCGTCAATGAAGGTGCAGTGCAGGCCCAGCGGCTCCAGCAGGGACCGCACCTTCTCCTCCAGGCAGCAGCGGCCATTGATGATGGGTCCGAAGGGCTTGGGGATGCCCAGGTACTTGCCCAGCACCAGCATGTTCACCTGCAAAGACGTGGAATTCCAGGTCAAAGGCACTGCTACCTGAGGGTCCTTCCCTCCTCTAACCTTCAGAAAAAATAATCCATTATAAAGATGAGGAAGTCTAGGTAAAGTGAGTAATACCATCTAGCTAGTGTCAGACTTATGCCCAAGTTTGTTAAACTCCAGGGCCCAGGCTCATAGTGTTGTACTCTCTACTCTGCAGCCAGATTTTTTTTTTTTTAATTATTCAACACTCAGTTCAAAGGCCACCTCCTCTGTGAAGCTGCCCTCAGTCTCTGGCAATTAATCACTGCTCTTCTGAGTTCCTGTTGCTCCCAGCACAGATGCCTGACACATCTGGGGCACTTAATAAATATCTGTTAAATGGGTGAGTAAGTGCCTACCTCTGTTACAGCACTTTAAATACATTATATAAACACACTACTCCCTCCATTGTATTGGGAAGTGGCCTGGTAAAAGAGGAGGTCAAAGATTTTCGGTGAAAGTCAACAGGGATTTTAATCTCAGCTCTATCACTCAATAGCCCTGTGACCTTGGGCCTATCACTTCACCTCTCTGAGCCTCATCAGAGTACTGGGCCCTAAAACATTTCCATTGCTATGCCAATTAGGTAAAATCTTAGATGCAAAATGTGTCCAGCACATGTCATCAGCTAACACACACACAACAAGATCATATTGTTGTGAGTGGTAGGCTTTTCACTGACTGATTTTCAGAAGAAAATTACCAGGCCTTTCTTCCTTCTCTTAGTCCAGAAGCACCATGAGGTGCTATATTAATGAACAGACGTTCATTAATATAGCAAAACGCAGGCCTCCACTGCCAGATGGGTGGTGGCTGTGGATGAAGTCTATGGACTGGAACTTGAACCTGGAAGGCTAGGATTCTACCATGAAACTGCCCCTACTCCCACACTCAGCACATAGTAGATGCTTAGGGCACTGATGAGGTTAAAGCATTCAGTGGCTTGAATACACTAGCTTGTCTCTGAGTTCTGATGGTCCAGTGGCAAGTAATTGTACTGCTCACCTCAAGGCATGTGGTTCAAATCTACCAGCCACTTCTTGGGAGATAACTGGGAAATCTCCTCTCATGAGATTTACAGCCTCTGAAAACCTGCTGGAGGTCCTTTTATAAGTCATTTCTGACCTGATGCCACCTAGCTCTGGTGGCCTAGTGGTAAGGAACTGCGCTGCCAACACAAAGGCATATGGTTCAAACCCACCAGCTGCTCCACAGGAGAAAGATGGGACTCGCCTCCCATGTGATATGCAGTCTCTGAAAACCCAGTGCATGGTCAGCTATGAGTCAGTTCTGACTTCATGACACAAAACAACAACCATTGTTCTGTGGGAGAAAGATGAAGCTGTCTACTCCTGTAAAGATTTGCAGCCTCAGAAATCCTACGGGACAGTGCTCCTCTGGTTCCACTCCCACTTTGAGACTCCGCACCTCCCTTCTCTCCTGCTTCCTGTCATTTGCTAATCCTGAGCCGTGAAGACTGGCTGGTTAACCCTGAGAGGAGGAAGACAAGATGCTTGGGGCCAGAGAATTTTGTTCAGGGAGCTGGGGGGGAGCAGCAGCACCTCTTGCTTGTCAGCCAAACCCTAAATACAATGTTGTCAAGCAGATTCTGACTCTTGGTGACCCTACTGGACAGAGTAGAACTTCTCCTGCAATGTTTCCAAGGCCCTGGTAGAGCACTGGTTAAATCTCCCAGTTGCTAATGGGAATGTTGGCAATTGTGCCCCACCTGCCATTCCTCGGGAAAAAGACATGGCTGTCCGCCTCCATAAAACTGTATTGTTATAAGACAGTGTCCAACTGTGTTTGGGCGTGCTGTTCTGTCCTGCAGGGCTGCAGAGTTGAGAGTGACTCGGCAGCAGTGGTCTTGGGCCTGGAATCTGTATACAATCTTTCCTCAAAACAAAATCTTTCACAGCACATCAATGCAGAAGGCAGGACAGCAATGCTATTGGATCTACAACTCAGTCTTAGAACCCGGGGTTCCTGGGAACTTAGTTTAAAAACCACTGTGCCAGGGAACTGCTGCCTCTTCCCTAAACTCTTTGCATGAGAGGAGGTAGGTGAAGTTCTACAAAGCCCATGGGCATTCTTTGGAGAAAGGGCAGCATAGGGTAGTTGTTGTGTACCGTCTAGTCTGAACTGATTCGTAGCTGGCCCTCCAGCAGGTTTTTAGAGGCAGTAAAAGGCACGAGAGGAGACTGCTCATCTTTCTCCTGCAGAGCAGCTGCCTCGTGTCTTCCACAGGGCAAAGGGGTGGTAAAAGGCAGTTGATGACTTCCAGATGGTTCTTGCGGGTCATTGTGAACAGCTCTTGACAAAGGCAGGCTCACCCTCGATCCCCCTTGTGAACAAGGTCCCATCCATCAAGGCAGTGCCACCTTTTTAGAGGGATGTTCAGTTCACACTCCCTGAAGCAGAGCCTCTTTGTTCATTTTCTTCATGGGGCTCCGTGGAGCCTGTAAGCATCTTGCTTGAGCCCCTGTGAGTCCCTTGGCAGGGCAGCTGACAGGAGGCAGTGCAGCAAGGTGGTCAGAGCACAGGTTCTGCAGCCAGACTCCAGGTTCTGAATCTGAGCTCCACCTCTAGTCAGCTGTGTGTGTTTATGCAGGAACCCACCCTTTGCTGGACCTCCTGCACAAAGTGGAGGTGATCCTCTCAACTTACTGTCACCGAGTAGAACTTGACTCACAGCTTCCCTTTCAGCAGGTTTTCTGATCTGTAAATCACATGGGAGGAGACTGCTTATCTTTCTCCTGTTGGGCAGCTGGTAGATTTGAACCGCCTGCCTTTGAGTTGCCAGCATAACTCCTTACCCACTAGACCACCAAAGCTCTCCTACTAGAAGGTACTTTATAAATTGGAAAACCAGCCCAAACCAGTTGCTGTGAGATGATGTGAACTCCTGGCCTCCCCATGTGTGTCTGAACTGAACTGGGGCCCATCGGGTTTTCATGGTTGTGATCTTTTGGAAGTTGACCACCAAGCCTTTCTTCCAAGGCACTTCTTGGTGGACTTGAACTTCCAGCCTTAGCAGCTGAGCGCATTAACCAATAGCACAACTCAGAGGCTCCTTGTAAACTGCAAAGGGTTATGGAAATCCCTGGGAGGTGAGGAGAAGGATCCAGATTTCCTGGGCAGGCTGGGAACCCTGCTGGCCTCTTGGCTGTCCCCCTCCTCACCATATTTGGGAAAAAGGCGTCAGCCTTGGCGGTCGCTTGGTTGCCTCTCAGCTTATAGAGCTGGGGGATGTCGATGATGTCACACTCCTCCAGGCCTAGCTCCCGCTTCAGCACCTCTCGGTTCCAGTTGATACAGCGCTGGACAGGGAGGGAGAAAGGAGAACAGAGGGCATTCAGTAGGGAAGGACCAGGGGATGGGGTCAGAAGGGCAGTGCCTACAGCTTCTCTGATGATGGCTCCCTGGCCTGGGGCCCTTGGCCTGTGTGGCCTCCTCTCCCACCTCTTCCTTGCTCTGGCTTTCTCCCATCTCTCTCTGCCCCTCCCTCTGCTTCTGTGGGTCCCCATCTTTCCCTCTGTTTCTGTGGGTCCCCATCTTCCTCTCTCTTTCTGTGGGCATCCATCTTTCTGAACACTGTTATCACTTGGCCTCTCACACTGTCCCCGTCTCTCTGAGGGTTTCACCTCAGTCTTTCACAGACTCTAGTTTCATTGACTTTTCTTTTCTGGTACAGTGCCCTGTTCCTCAGGTGACTGAAGGCTCTCCTTCTTTCATCCACCCAAATCTTAAAGGATGTCACCCTAGTCCCTTAGAGCAGCTCATCACTGAGCTGACCCGCAGCCCATAGAAGGCCCTTGTCTTGTGTCCCGAACTACAGAGAAGGTAGCAGAGTTAGGGGCAGCACCTCCTGGGGTCTCAGGCTTGTACCTCCACATATGAATTGTGCTCTCTCAATTTCTTGTTTGATAGAATGTTTTCCACTTTCTGCTGGTTTTTTCCTGCTATGGAGAAAAAGAAAAATAAATGTAAGTGAATTCAGGGGTATATTTCTCTTTTCTCAGTAGCTGCTGTGAGGACTCAGTTTCTCCAGCTGTAAAATAGGACAGTAATTCCTAGCATGTATTTTATGAGCATCTGGGAGGCAAAGCTTTTGTTAAAACACTTTACTGGTGTCATTTCTTATTACAATTTTCTCTCTCGATCCACTTTGAGTTGGTTTTTATGTATGGAGTGAGGTGTGGATCTTGCTTGAATTTTTTACAGATAGTTTTCTAATTTTGCCAGAATCATTTGTTAAAACAGTTGTAGTTTCCCCACTTAACTGATTTCATCTCCTTGTCAAAATCCGTTGACCATATGTAGATGGGCTGATGTCTGGATTCTCAATTCTGTTCCATTGATCTAAATGTCTGTCATTGTATCAGTATCACGCTGTCATGGCACTGTAGTAGGATTTGAGATCAGGGAGTGAGATGCCTCCTACTTCATTTCTCTTTTTGAGGAGTGCTTTGTTTATTTGGGCCTCTTTCCATTACAAATGAAATTGGAGATTGCCTTTTCCATCTTGTCCAAGAATGGAATTGGTATTTGTATCGGGATTTCATTGAACGTGTAAATGACCTTTGGTAGTATTGTCATTTTCACATTATTGAATCTTCTTATCCATGAGCAAGGAATATTCTTCCATTTCTCCAGGTCTCTTTTTGTTTCTTGTAGTAATGTTTTGTAATTTTCTTTGAATAGATCTTTTGTGCTTCTGGTTACATTTACTCCCAAGTATTTAATCTTGTGATTAGCTATTGTGAAGGGTATTGTTTTTCTTAGCTCCAGTTCTGTATTCTCTTTGTCACTGTTGAAAAAATTCAACTGCCCATCAACAAACAAATGGATAGAGAAGCTGTGGTATATTCACACAATGAAATAATATGCTGCATTGAAAAACAAAGAACTCATGAAGTATTATACAAAATGGGTGACCCTGGAGGACATTATGCTGAGTGAAATATCTCAGTCACGAAAGGACAAATACTTCATAGTGCCACTGCTGTAAAGCAGGTCTGACATCGGAGTTGGGGGAACCTAAGAAAAGAGGGGATAAATGATGTATACTGCATTGAAACAGATGAGGGAGAGAACTGTTTAAAAGGAATATAGGATTAGGTAATATTTTCATGACAAGATTACAGAAAAAGAAATACATAGTAAAGTGGACTGTGGACTTGGGAGGGAATTGTATCACAATGAAAGAATTTTTTTTTTCTTTTCAAAGAAAAAAAACTAACAGGGGAGGGGTGGGCAGGGAGGAAAATATGCAACAATGAATGAATGGGGGAAAATTAAGTGGAAAGAATATGCTGTAAAAATATTTATGTTGCTTTAAAAATCATTAATAATAAAAAAAGGAAAAAGTAAGAATTTTAAAAAATGTTCTTTCTCCATGAGATTCTCTGATTTCTAAAAAGGCTCCCTTTACAGAGGAGGGTGGGGAGGCATGGCAGACACTGGATGCCACATGACACACTACTATAGATATTAGCCCAAAACATTCAGGTTTGTCAACCTCTGACCCAACCCATTCTCTAAACTTAAGTGAGAAACATTTCAGTAAAGAAATTTTGTTATCCTATTTACCCAAGTTGCTTCCGATTTATCACGATCCTCCATTGGTTTTCCACATTTTATGGGAGAAGATGGTTCTTCTTTCCCCTGAGGAGCAGCTAATATTTTGGTGGTTGTTGATTGACTTCGCATAGAGCAAGACTCATAGTGACCCTATGAACAAAAGGCCTGAAGCCCCTCTACAACTATTGACATTTATCAAAGTTTGTAGAGTTTCTGGCTTGTTGTTTAGAAAGTGGACGCCACTCTGATATATTACACACTATGCCACTTGGGCTCCTTCATATCATACATACTATGTTACTAGTATCTGAAAGTCTGAATTTCTTGCAGGTCTTCAAATACATCTTGTTTTGTCTTACCTCTGAGTCTTTGCATTTGCTGTTCCCTCTGCCACATTTCCCTTCCCCTCACCCGCCACTACCCCTTTAGTCTGGACAACTCCTACTCATCCCTCACGTTCCTGCTTGGTCTTCACCTCCAGGTGTCCCCTGATGCCTTCCAAGGCCCTGTTTGGTAGCTCTTTGCTGGAAACCTTTTTGTCTACTTATGCAGTATCCTGGGCACTTAGCACAACACCTGACCTGAAGCAGGTGCTCGGAAACTCTTGCCTGGGCGATTCCTTTTGGCAGTAGGTGAACACCGGCAAGCAGGGTGAATATGGACAAGCAGAGAAAAATTCCCAGATGGGAGGAACAGGCATGCTCACTTACTCTTGACCCCTTCAAACAGCAGTGCGTCCCCATGGCCCTCCTTCTCCAGCTCCTGGAACAGTTTGTAGCAGGCCCTGGGGCTGGCCAAGAGCAACCGGAAACCCTGGAGGTGGGAAACACCGAGGTCAGAAGTCAATATTGCTCACGGCTTTGCTGAGGGGATGGAGAGTGAGGATTTGACCCCAGATTGACTGCCTCCTCCACCCTCCTTCCCCAGAGACGATGGAAGCAGAAGAAAACCCAGGAAGGAGGCATGACACCTCCTCCAGCAGGCCTCCAGATCACACCTTCCCATCCTTCGCTGGCACGAAGCTCAGGAACTCGTCCACATGGCCCACATCCAGCCAATCAGAGTAGAGCTTCACAGGGGCCTGCACCTGCTGGGCGACGAGGAAGTCCTGCAGGGCCTGGTGCATCTCCCGACTGTCCTGACTGCCGACACAGGGTTGAAGGGTGTGTGTGTGTGAGCACGCATGCGCATGGGGTCGAGGGTAGGACAGGGAGAAGGACCAGCCGGAAAGTCTACCAGGGACTGGGGACTAGGCCAAGAAGTCAGGACCTCCTGGAGCTGGGAAGAGACTCAGGAGGCTAGGAGGCCTCTTCATCTTTATTATTCCACTAAGAATTTGTGGAATCTAGAAATTGTTAGCTTAGTTTTATAGGGGAAACTGAGGCATAGAGTGTTTAGGGTACATGGGTTCAGAGCCTCGTGTGAAAAAGCACAGCCTGTAGACACAGTCGGATGCTGGTGGTGTGGAGACACGTTGGGGGTGGTGCCAGTCTGACCTGAATTCCTGGTCCCCTCCTAGCTGTATGGCCTTGGGGGTGGTCCTTCACGTCTCTGAGTCTTAGGCATCTCCTTGCTCCGATTTACATGATCTAGTCCCTGGCTAGCTCTCTTCCTCTGGCCCAGTCTATTCTAGCCAGTCTTGCCTTGTTGAACATGACAAGTTTTCCCTGCCTCAAGGCCTTTACATGTCTCTTTTATCTGCCTGGAATTTTGTCTCATATCTCTGCATGACCAGGGCCTTCTTGTCATCAGGGCTTACTTTAAAACCACCTTCCCAGAAAGGCCCTGACTCACTTCGTTCTCATTCCTGCTCAGCCTTGGATTTGTTTCTTCACCATTAGAGAACATTTTATTTGTTTGCTTTTCTATTATCTGCCTAGCTCACTAGAATAGTGGAAGGGACTTGTTTATCATATTCATAAATGCAATTTTAGCTCCTAGCATGACGCCTGGTATATAGCAAGTGCTCAGTAAACATTCACCAAGTGAAAATATGAATTTATGTGGTGGAGTTGGGATTTGAACCTGAATCTAGGGCCTCAGAGTCCATGCCCCCGTTCCTGCATTCTCTCAAGTTTATTGTATCCTTTTGGGTTTAGGACAGATAGATATTAGAGGCTTCTGCCTCTGGCTTTTGCTTTTTCATGGAACCCCCCAGAGGTCTGACCCCTAACCCCTGCCTCTTCACCTGGGGTAACTGCTGCTCCCAATGAGAATCCTGCCGAGTGGGTATTCCTTCTCCCCGACAGTGACTGGGGGGCTCACTTCCAGGTTCCCAAAGGAGTCGAGGCCGGTGATCAGGTTTGCTTTGGACCCTCGAGTCACGTAGCCAAAATCTGGACCCTGAAATGAAGGAAGTATGCAGCAAATGTTAGAGAATGGAGTTTCTGGGTGAAGAGAGGGTGAGGTCCAAGCTTGGAAGATTGACCTGGCTGGAGGAGGGAATCCAGTAACCACTAGTGGTCAGCGCCTCGTGTAACCTTCAGCATAATAGTGCATCGCAAGGTGAACTGCTGAGGAGAGCTGCATGCAAGCTGCCTCAATACCTTGTTTCTGTCTTACAGGCAGCCGCTGACTCAGGGTGACCCGAAACCCAGTGCAGAAACTGCTGCCTGGTCCTACATCACTCCCACAACGCTTGCAGGCTATCGTGCTTCTTCAGGTTTTCATTGGTTGATTTTTGGAAGCAGATTGCCAGATCTTTCTTCTTAGTTTCTTAATCTGAAAGCTCTGCGAAAACCTAGTCAGCTTCATAGCAAAAGGAAAGCCTCCACTGACAAAAGTGGTGGCTGTGTCCAGGGTGTATTAGTCAGGATTCAAACCCAGGTCTCCTGCCTGGAAGGCGAGAATTCCACCACTGAACTACCACTGCCTCACTTTATACACTCGGCTTAATAACAAATACAAAATGCCATTTATGGTTGTCATAGGAATGAAGGAACTAAGCTTAGTAAAAGTAGTGGTATGGCCAGGAATTGAGTTTTCATTGTAGCAAGGTCTCCTGGCCACATCAGGCTGTGTCTGACTGTCACAAGTGTCACAGGATGGCTGTGATATCTCCGTACAGGTCTTACACGTCTCTCACTCCCTGGGTGAGTATCTCAGGCTGTTAGAACAAATTACACTGATGCATTCTCTCACAGAAGTGGGCCTCAGAAGTTCAAAATCAGTCTCAGTGGGATTGAGTACCAGCCTGGCTGGTTCCTTCCAGGGGCTCTACCAATACCAGTACTGGGTGTTATATCAGCTGTACTTGATGGTAGACATGCTGTGTGTCAGAGTAGAGCTGTACATCATAGGGTTCTCAGTGGCTCGTTTTTTCTTTTTTAAATTTAATACTGATTTATTTACAAAGTTCAAATACCTTGTTTTTCACACTGGACCTTTCCCATTTCCTTCACACCCCCATCCATCAAATTGTGAAACCCTATGATTTAACCCCTCCCTGTCCATCCTCACCCCTCTACTTCCATCTCCCCCTCTTAGACCCTCATAGTTATTTTACAATAATGGTTTTTACACTATTTGACCTTATGAGACTAAGTTCACTAAGCATAATGTTCTCCAGTCCCTCCCAAGTCAGGTAGTAATTTACAAAACCATTGCTCCTGCGTGCTGCATAGTATTCCAATGTGTGAATGTACCACACCTTCTTAATCCATTCAACTGTAGTTGGACATCTGGGCTGTTTCTAGGTTCTTGCGATGGTCAGTAACGCTGCTATGAACAAGTTTCCGTTTGTGCCTCAGTTCTCGTTTTCTCGAGGTATATTCCAATCAGTGGAATAGCTGGATCATATGGAATTTCTATGTTCAGCTTTTTAAGAAAGGGCCAAACTGCCTTCCAGAGTGGTTGCACCATTGTACAATCCTGTCAACAATGTATAAGAGTTCCTATCTCGTCACATCCTCACCAACATTTATTGCTTGCTGTCTTTTTTTTTGTTTTTACTTGCTGTCTTGTTAAATTTTTCAGTGGCTGTTTTAAATATTTTTTTTCCTAAGCTGCTTCTGTTTCTCCAAAGTGCATCCAGCCTTTTGGGCAGCAGCCCAGTATATGAACTGTTCTTACCACCCAGAAACGAGACTCCTTGGTAACTTCTAAGACTACGTTGGCTCAAGATCCTGTTTCAAAGAGCCCATTCATCGCCTCCATTCATCACATCGTCTTCTCCCTCCTGCCTCCCTCTCGTTGCAGGCTTAAGATTCCACTGGGCCCACCTAGATAATGTTGGATAATCCCCCACTGCAAGGCCTTTCATTTAATCACTGGACAGTGAACAAGGAAGACCAAAGAAGGATAGATGTCTTTGAGTTGTGGTGTTGGAGGAGAATCCGGAATGTCCACAGACTGACAAAAAACCCCAAATAAGACTGTCTTGGAGGAAGTGAAACCCGCGTGTTCCTTGGTGGCCAGGATGGGGAAACTTCCTCTCATAGACTTTGGGCATGTTGTCAGGAGGGGTCAGGCCTTGGAAGAAGATATCATGCTGGGAAAGGTAGAGGTTGTTGTCAGAGCTGACCCATAACTGACCCTCCCGCGGGTTTTCAAAGGCAATTAATCACACAGGAGGAGATTGCCCATCCTCCTCCTATGGAGCAGCTGGGGGCCTTGAACCGTGTGCCTTTGGGATTGAATCACAGCTTCTTGAGGGTCAGCAAGAAACAGGAAGACCCTCTCCAAGATGGATTGACACAGTGACACCACCGATGGGCTTGAGGATGGTGGAGATTGTGGGGAGGGGGCAGGATAGGGCAGGGTTTCTATCTGTGTTTATGGGCCTGCGATGAGATAGAGCCAACGTGACAACAATCTAATCAGACCTGCAACATCCTTTTGGCCACAAAAGGTAACCTTCATGGTCTTTAGGGGTTAGGACTTGGTCAAATTTGAGGGGGTCATTATTCAGCCCATCACATCCCTCGAGAAGGATGCAGTGTCTCCTCTCTGTCGCTAGGTGCCGTGTCAGCTCTAACGCATGGTGACCTCATGAACAACAGAAGGAAACACCGCCCTGCCCTGTGCCATGGATACGGTCATTGGCATGTTTGAGTTCATCATTGAGGCACTGTGTGTTCTGAACGCCTTTTGATTAAGAAAGTTCTCACTTGCACATGAGCTCTGGTGGCTTCGTGGTAAGGAATGGTGTGGCCAACCCAAAGGCATGTGGTTTGAATCTACCAGCTGCTCTACAGAAGAAAGATGGGTGTTTTCTCCCCATGCGATCTACAGCCTCTGAAAACCCACCAGAGGGTCAGCTGTGCGCTGGTTCTGATTCAACAGTACATAACAACAGCAACAGTCTGATTAGGGGGCTCCTCTCCCAGTGCTGTACCATTTCCTGTGTCATCAGTAGACTTTTCCATTGGCTGACTTTTGGAAGTAGGTTACCAGGCACTGAAACCTACCTACTCTGATTCTGCTGGTATTTTTTTTTTAAAAAGAGTGGAATAGCGTCCAGCACCACACAGTCGCCACAGTAGGATGAACTGACCTTCTACAAGCCAATGATCATTCCTCTGAGCTCCTTGGATTCCCTGCAAGAAATTTGAAATTGTGTGCCTGGCTGCATTTTTCCTGGAAAGGTGAGTACTCGCAAAAAAGGCTTGTGACTCCAAATATTTAAAAGCCATCATTTCTAATTTCTTCCAAACCCCCATGCCATTACACCTTTTACCCCTGAGGTCTTCAGTGACCACCCAGGGAATCCAGTGGCAATTCTCTGTCTCGTCATCTTGACCACCAATTGCTGACCACACCCACACCACAGACATCCTTTCTGCACTTGGGTCTTGTGACCCTGTCCACTACTGGTTCACCTTTTATCTCGACCCTAAGCCTTTTCTGTCCCTGTCACCATCCTTTCGTTATCTCTCTGACCTCAGAGACCTCAGAACACTGGAGGGCCCTCTAATGCTGACTTGTTTTTGGGGGGATATTGCTCAATGTTGTGGCTTGAAACACCATCAGTGAGCTGACCACTCGTAGTCTGCACTTCTCCCCAAACTCTGGGCACAGAGCCATCTGTTTACCTGTGTTCCCACCTGGATATTGACCCAATATCTCTAAACTTTCTCCTCCTCAAAGCAACTCCTGATCTGCTCCTCCCCTCCCATTTGCTCACCTGCCAACCTGCCCTCACACAGCCCTCCCGTCAAAGGGGACAGCGCCTGCCGCTAGGAATGAAAAGCGTCAATGTAACCTTTGGGTCCTTTCTTGTCTCACAACTGGAGTTGAGTTGGTTTAGACTCATGGCGACACCACGTCCATCAGAGTAGAACTGGGCTGCAGAGGGTCTTCTGTGGCTGACTTTTCAGAAGCAGATCACTAAGCCTTTTTTTATCTGAGATGCGTTGGTGTGGGCTTGAGCCACCAACCTTACTGTTAAGAGTTAAGTACGGGGGAGTTCTGGTGACCTAGTGGCAAGAAGCTGCACTGCAATTCCAGAGAAATGCTGTTTGAATCCACCAAATGCTCTGCTGGAGAAGGAGAAGCCATCTCCTCCTGTACCAGTCAGATCCGATTTGACGGTATACACACACACACACACACACACACACACACACACACACACACACACACACACACACACACACACACACACACAAATAAAAAAAATAAAAAAAAAGAGTTAAGCACGTGGTTTGCATCACCCACTGGCTACCAGGAAATCCTATTGGCTCTGCTTTCAGAATAGATCCAGACTCTGACCACATCTCATCCCCTCCCTCCTGCATGGTGGTCTGCTTCTCCATTTCCTTTCCTCTTGGTACTTCCTCAGCCTCTCCCACTTTCCCTACTCAGCCGTTGCCTCCTGCAGTACCTTCTCAATTGGCAGAAGGACCTTTGATGCTGTGGGTCAGATCACAGCTCCCTGTCTAAGACTCTGAAATGGGTCTTCTGCTTCTTAGATTCTAAACCAAAGTTCTCACTATCTGTGATAACCCTATAGGATCTGTTCCTTTACCCCATTCCCTGTTACCTCCCTGACATATACCCTCTTCACACATACTCTCCACTTGCTTCTCTGCTTCACTTCCTGGTCCCTGTGCTGCTACTTTAATACAACAGTCATACTACTGCCCCAGGACCTTTGCACAGACTGTTCTATCTCCCTGGAACATTTACCCTCTTGACATTGGTATGGACAACTCCCTTACCTTCTTCCAGTTTTTTCTCAGTGCCAGCTTCTCAATGAAGCCTCCTCTGATCATTCTATTTAAAATTGCAATCTAACCACCTCCTTCCATACTACGCCAACACTGTGAAACCCCTTGATTTTACTCTGTTCTTTCTTTTTTGTAACACTGGATAGCATCTGATAATATGCCAACTGATCTATTTATCTGCTGTATGTATTGTTTATTGCTGGCCTCGCTTTGCTAGAATGCCAACCTCTGAATGTAGGAACCTCTGTTTTCTTCACTGCTGTATCCCAGGTTCCTAGACCAGGGACCAGCTCAGAGCAGGTGTGCTCATTGACTGTTTAGTGAATGATTGATACACTAATACAGAGTTCCAATCCAGGCTGTTCTCATGAGAGATACTTAGCTGTATAAGCCGCAAGATTGGATTTCTGCAAGTGATCGAAGTGGCCCCCATTTTCTGTAGAAGCAGCTGCTCAAAGGTGGATTTGTATGGGAAGCTTTCAGATGCTAATGGATACAACTTCAAGGCACTGTGTTAGAAAAGTGTTGTTCTTTCAATTGTCCTCCAGTCTTTTTAATTCACCAAGTATTCAAGTCCTCGAGTGGTGTAAAAGCATCCTTCACAAATCAAGCCAGGTAGAGTTGATTGTGACTGAAGGCTGAGTTTCCTCATCAGCCTATAGGCTACACAAGGGGAAGAGTGTGTCTCCTCTAACAGACTGGCTGCAGCTGCTCCAGCCCTTTCTCTTGGGCTCTCCTCAGGAGAAATAAGACCTAGAATTCAGAAATTCTGAAGTAGTTGCCATATTTGCAGGCCCTTCACCCACAGCTAAGGGAACCAGGGCTACCAGTGCCAGTCCCAGACCCTGCTAAGTGGATTCAAATCATGGGGCACTCACACACAGGTAAGAGAAGAACCACGCTCCTTAAGGTTTTCCATGGCTGAATTTTCAGAAGTAGATCACCAGGCCTTTTGTCTGAGGTACCTCTGAGTGAACTTGAACCTTTAACCTTTGGCTTGCAGCAGATAACCATGTGCATCACTCAAGGAGAACCGAATTCATCTTTAACTCCAGCTGATATCTCACTTTAACAACTAGAGAGCTAAACTCAGGCTCAGCTGTTGGGATTACACTTAATCTGCTGAATTTAACAGCATCATTCTGCTTTAATTTGGTGCTTGCTTCCTATCATGGCAAAAACTGCAAACCTTCTATTTACAGCTATCCTCCACTCCCCACAATCAGACAGCTCTGCTGGCGAGTCCTGCTGGTGGCATGTGCTGCTAACCTAAAAGTAGTGCTCATCTGGCAGTTCAAACCCACCAGCCGCTCTGCAGCACAAAGATGGGCAATCTCCTCCCGTGTGATTTACAGCCTCAGAAAACCTGCTAATGGGTCACCTTCTGGAAGAGACCCACTGGGAACTGTAGTTGAGAGTGTTGGAGGTGGGGCAGGATTTCATCTGGGATGACCCGACCAATGAAGACACTGAAGTGGAAAAATGTAGGCTGGGAAGTAGCTACACAAGTGGGGAAGGGCATGGAGCAGAGGTTAGTAAAAGTCGGGAGCAGCCTGAAGGGCAAGGCAGCCCGTGAGCTGGAGCTGAGCGCCTGGAGGAGAGGCCCTGGGTGAGGCAGGGCAGGCAGCAGCTGCAGCACATGGTGAGGTTACCTTTTATTCTAATCTCTTTTCCTTCTGAGTGATTTGCTCCGGAATGTGCTGGATGTGCTCGGCCAAGAGATCATCACAAGGTTGTCTGTGAGCAAAGGAGAAACCTGTACTGACCCGTCTGGCCTTTTAATTGAAGACTTTGGAGGTGTATCTTGTGATGCCAGACGATCTGGTCTTTGTTATGTTTGCACTATCAAATTAGGGGACAAAGCCACTATCATGGATTGCACTGTGTCCCCCTAAAGTGCTTGTTAACTTGGCTAGTCCATGCTTATCAGTTCTATGTGATTATCTTATATGTTGTAACCCCTCACCTTTCTGATGTTAATTAGTGAGGATTAGAGACAGTTATGTAATAGCATAATCGTCCCCCAAGATGTGATCAGCCTGTGGCTGTAAGGGGATCAGGATGGGCTGCAAGGCCCTTAAACAGGTCATAGCCCAGAGCAGATGGGAGGGACTTTTCCCTGGGGTGTGGCCTGCATCACCTTTTGTCTTACAAGAAAAGGAGAGAAATGTTAGCAGAGATAGTAGGGCCTTAGTGCTGCAGAGATAGAAAACATCAAATGCTGGTGACGTTCTGGAGAAACCAGAACCCTTATTCACTGTTGGTGGAAGTGTAAAATGGTGCAACAACTGTGGAAAGTGGTGTGGCAGTTTCTCAAAAAATTGCAAACAGAAATACAATTTGACCCAGCAATTCCACTACTGAGAATATACCATAACCACCACCCAAGCAGATATATGCACACCCTTGTTTATCATGGCTTTGTTCATAATAACAAGGAGTTGGAAACAACCCAAGTGCCCATCAACAAACAAATGGATAGAGAAGCTGTGGTATATTCACACAGTGGAATACTACGCTGCATTGAAAAACAAGGAACTCATGCAATATTATTAAAAATGGGTGACCCTGGAGGACATTATGTTGAGTGAAATATCTCAGCACAAAAGGACAAGTATTGCATAGGACCACTGTTGTAAAATGGGACTGACATTGGAGTTGAGGGGAGACAGAAAGATGGGACAAATAATGTATACTACATTGAAACAAATGAGGGAGAGAACTATTTAAAAGGGATATGTGATTAGGTATTATTACCACGCTAGGACTCCACAATGAAGGCTGCATAGTAGAGTGGACTTGAGGGGACGGATTGTATAACAATGAAAGAATTTGTCTTTTACTTTTCAAAGAGAAGATTGTACTTGGGGGGAGGGGTGGTCAGGGAGAAAAGTGCAACAATGAATGAATGAAAATTTAAAGTCTCTGTAAACTTTCATTATAATTAACTTTTTTAAAAAGCGCCCCCCCAAAAAAAACCAAACAAACAACAAACAAACCAGGAATGGAGCCAAGTTGCCATGCTGGGAAACTCTTAGAGCCAGGAGACACAATGAGAAGCTACCTCAGAGAACCAGCATCCTGAATTGGGACTTCTAGCCTCCTAAGTTGTGAAAGAATAAATCCCACTTGTGGCCTGTCTGCTTTAGCAGCTCTAGATAACAAAAAACGCCTCTGCCCAAGGCTGCAGGAGGGCTGTAACCGGGGAGGAAGGGCAGAGTTACTATAATCAGATGCCATCGAGTTGCTTCCAACTCATAACAACAGCTATAGAATTGAACCTCTGCTCAGGGTTTCCAAGGCTGTAAATCTTCACATACACAAACGGCCACATCTTTTACCCAAAGAATCACTGATGGATTTGAACCAATGACCTTTTGTTTAGCAGCCTGATGCTTAATCTACTTTTCAGGAAGTCCAGTTGTTCCTGAGACATGGATGAACCTGATTCTGTGGCAGATCAGACACAGCAGACCCAGTCAAACCCTAGCACCTCTGCAGCTTACATAGGACATGCATTGTTGAGCATAAAGAAGACTTAGGACAAGTTGTTGGGTGAAAGTGAAATCTCGTTTCAAGGCCTCCTGTGTGAGCAGGGGTGCATTCTATTCCTTAAGAAGCAGGATATTCCCTGGGAAACCATTCACCTTAGTAAACCTCGCACCCTTGCCCCATTTTCCCTGGGCTCCTGCGAGTTCAAGCAAGCAGGGAGCCCTGGCAGTTAAGAGCATGCTCAGGGCCTTCGTTGATTGCCAACTTGGAGGAAGGTACTTCACCTCTCAGAGCCTCAGTTTCCTCATCTAGAAAATGGGCCTGTTAATAATAAGATCTACATAAAAGTTTACCAGACCAATTAAATGAATCAATGCAGGTAGAAAAAGTTATTAGAGTGTTATGCTTGACACGGACTGCAAGCTCGACTATCCTGTTGCTGTTATTGTTATTGTTATCCTGTGCTGAGCTTGCTCATAGCTACCAGGCTCCTCTGACATGACTCACCGATGTCACCCACCCCGCTCACACATACACACGCAGAGATTTTGGCTGATAAAATTCAGGACCAGGCACTGACCACTCTGGGTTTGAAAATCACCACACCCTGGATGGAGCCCTCGGACCAGCTCCTGCCCTGGGAAACAATCTCCAAGTGGATGTGGGAAAGGTACCCAGCCCAGCTCCACATCCCTCCCCCACTGCCCCCCAGTGCAGCGCAGAAGCATCTGCAGCCCCACAGGATACCAGTTCCCGCCCAGGGTTATTCTGAGGACAAGGTGAGCTCATGGTGGAGAGAGCTGTGGGAGAGGAGTCAGATCTTATCATGATGGTAACAAAACAACCAGCCCTGCTGGCATCTCCTGGAGCAAGCAGGCAGTTCCAAGCTGCGCAAGCTCGCTGGTCCGCCCCCAGGGGTGGAGGTGGGGCGCAGGCTAATGAGGAAGGCTGGGAGGTTTTGGCACCTGGAGACCCCACTCCCACATAGTACCAGCAAACGCTTGAGGGGGAAATCCTTCAGGCCTCTGTTCCGTGGGGAGTCGAAGACCACCGGCAGCGTTTTATGGGGGGCTTGGATGTATCCAATCTCGATTTCATCCTGCGCAGAATGAGCAGAAAGGAGACTGTTAAGCAGGCTGCCTGCGGTGTGGCACCTGGTAGGGGAGAGAATGGGGGTGGCGGTGGATATGGGGCCCCAGCATCAGGAGGTGAGGAGAGCTCTGAGGAGCCCTGAACCTCACTCCTGCGGTGTGCTTGACTAGGGCTGGGATCACAATGGTCCAAATGCAATCCTGGAACCTGCCCCTGGATGAGAGCAAGCCAGCCAGCCAGAGAGAGGGCAGCAGCCCCTCATGTTGAGAAGGTGATGGGAGGGGAAGTTGAAGCTCTTTGAGGACACAGAGAGGCTCCCTATGTGGTTGAAAACTTCTTGAAAAGAGAGAGGCCTGGGGGACTTGTAGGGATAGCCCTCCTCCAACTCCCTACTTGCCCCAAAGAAAGTCAAATTAAGGCCCCACCCCGGCCCATGGAATATGGGGAAGGGATCTTCGGAGACAAATATGGTGCAAACCTTGCTTCAGAGGCTCAAGTCCTAGATGTGATACTTGACAGAAATCATTGTTAAGTTGAGTCATATGAAACTGCCATTTTTCTAGACCAAAAGAGCTGGTAAGCTGACAATTTCATATGGTTTAAAACCCTGACATTATGAAGATACAGTGATAAGAAAGAAAACGAGGGTTTGGAAGAAAGAGGAGTTCCCATTGGAGAGCTGGGGAAGCCTACGGAGGTGCGCATTCAATCTGGGATGGGAGATGGGGATGGGAGGTGAGGCAGCGGGGGAATAGCATGGTGGGCAGAGACCCGAGGGAGGCTAGCTCACTAGCTGCCCACGTTGGGGTGCTGTCCTGAATGATACTCACTCTCTACTCTGGACAGCTCATGTCTGATGTGAGAAGAAGACTGGCCCTTAGAGTGGCCAGTGCAGAGACAGGCGGAGGCAGCCCTGGCAGGCAGGCCCTGGGAGCAAGCAGGGGAGGAGGCCTTGGGAGCGTGGCAAGGGCAGGAGCCGGAGAGTGAAGTGACCTGGGGTTGAGCCTCCTGAACTTTGCATTCTCTCTGAGGCCATCTGAGAGATTTCAAGTGAGAGGTGAAGGGAGTGGCTTTCCTCCTGGTGACCACGGTCCACACACACAGTGACCAGCTGCCTATATCCATTCTTATTGGCTCAGGCCACCTTACAGAGGAGTACTTACTTGTCTGAGAAAGAGGGATTGGTAAAGCTGGGCCCCAGGAAGGTCCCTGTGTGTCCCAGATCTCCTGCCCACAGGACCACACACCTGCATCCACTGGTCGTTTTTATTCTCTTCCTCGGGGCAGATGGTCAGTTTGCACTTGGCTTTCTTGGCTAGAGCAGTCACTGATTCCAGGAAGTCCTCATTTTCAAAAATCCTGTATGAAGCAGAAAAGGTGGGGGGCAATCCTGAGTGCTCTGAATTCTGACAGTGGCCTGGGCTGAGTCCTGAAAAGCTAAGTGGAACAGCCCTGATGTCCTCTAGAGGGCGCAAGAGTACAGGCCTGGACAGCTTGCTTGGTCCAGTTTCTCTGCTGTTGGCCAGACATTCACTCATTTCATCCTCCTAACAGCCCATGAAGCAGGAAACGCCTTTCACCAAAGCAGAGGCAGAGTGTGGATATCCAACCACCTAGGAACAGCCCTGGGATTCAATCTCAGATCTTCTGGTGCCCAGCCTGTCTCTTTACCAGGCTACCCCTCATTCCTGCTCTAGAAACAACTAAAGGAGGAGAGGGGACTCCTGAGATCCTGCACCCTTATCAGGGGCTCCCAGACTAGATGGCCATCACTAGACCCAGCAAAGGGAGCTGGCCAGCAACGTGTGTTTTAAGTAAGTTTTCAGATGTTGCTGTTGCAAAATGTCCACAAACTACATTGAGAAACCCGAGAATCCTGACTTAAGGACCCCGCCGGCACGTGGCAGAAAAAACAACCATCATCGATTTTCTCATTCATACAGCAGGTGTGCAGGACGCTTTGGTGGCAAAGAGCTGTGCTGCCATCCCAAAGGTAGTGGTTCAAATCTACCAGTTGCTCTGCAGGAGAAAGATGGGCAGTCTCCTCCTGTGTGATTTACTGCCTCTGAAAACCCACTGATAGATAGTACATAACAACATCACATATGCAGTGGCTGCAACCAGCATCCAGTGCTCCTAACCTCCTGGTTCAGGACTCCACCTGAACATAGCGCCACTCACCTGCACACGTACACCTCCTTCGGGGGCTGGGTGTTGGGGGTCATGATCCACGGGGCCACACGGAAAGTAACACTATCTTGGAAAACCAGCAGTTCTGGCATCTCCTGCAGGAATGAGGTAAACAAGAGGCCTTTACAAGAGCCCTGGTCTAACAGCTACCTTTTCCTGGTGGCTATTTGAGGTTCCCCCCTCTCCAGCGGGGCTCTGAAACCCCAGCTGGGCCACTGTCTGGAATCCCAGCCCCCACTCTGAGCTGCCATCTTGGCTTACCAGATTAGATGTGTCCAGCAGCGAGATGCCAAGGGAAATGAGTCCTGGGAAGTTGACATCTGGGAAAGCAAGGCCCTCCACATAGAAAGTGGCACTGTGCTGGCCGCCGGGGAGCTTCAGGGTGTGAGATGGCTGCTGGGGCCCCAGGACAGCCATGTACTTAGAAGGTGACTTGGCCCCTAGAAGAAGGGTAGGTGAGGCTCAGATCTGTGTCCCACTTCTGATGGCCTTGCTTCTTTGGTGTGGTAACACCTTTCCCAGGACCACCACATGGTCCCCACAGGAGGACCTCACAGCCAACTCTGAAAGGAGCCTTCCCTGGGGAGGGCAGGATCAAAGTCCAGTGGAGTGTCATTCCCTGGTTGAGGGGCAGGAGGGATACCTGAGCCATTCCCAACTTTACAGGAAGTCCAGTACATGCCCTGGCTCATTCACTGATTTCTTTTGTATCCAGATCTCCACTGAGACCTGGGGATACCAGGGGACAGTCATGGTTCTCACGCCCAGAGAGGAAGATTCATCATAGCGTGTGATTAAGAAGGAAAATAGCAGCTGTGATGGAGAGAAGCCTTCACTGCATATTCATGCCACATCCCCTTCCCTTTTTTATTTTTCTACATATGTTCGACACCACCTGACACACTCAGCATATTACTTAATTTCAGGTATCCTCCCTCTCAACCCTCTGGCATGAAACACGAAGGTGGGGTCTTTGCTTTGTTCTTGCTCCATTCTGAGTCTAGAACCATAATGGCAGATGGTCATGTACTGCTGGTCATTTCAGATGTCTTATCAGCAGGGGGAATCCCTGGTGGTGCAGATGGTTAATGTGCTAATTAAAGCTTGGAAGTTCCAGTCAGCCCAGAGGCACTTTGGAAGAAAGGCCTGGCAATCTACTTCGGAGAAATGAGCCGCTGAAAAGCCTGTGGAGCACAGCTCTCCTCTGGGACGCATGGGGTTGCCATGCACTGCAACTGGACTCCACATGAGCAGGGTGTTGGAAAATGAATTCTTGTCTAACACAAGAAACTTGCTTGTGTTCAAAGTCTCTGCAAAAAATGAGTCCATTATGTGTGTGTGTGTGTGTGTGTGTGTGAGAAAGAGAGAGAGTGAGAGAGCAGAGAACGTAAGGAGTGTCCTTGGGAGGGCACTTCTTTCCTCTCAGGGCTCACTAGCCCCACACAGTATCTTCTTTGTGTGTGTTTGCTGGCGTCCTGTCCGTCTCGGTCCAGAAGGTGGCAGCAGAGATGTCGTATGTCTTGCCCTTGCTGTGTCTCCAGCTCTTAGGGCCCAGCCCCTTGCTGGTGCTCAGAAGTGATCGGCTTAAGGAACCATGTGCCATAGGTTGGAAGAGGTAGAGATCACAGATGGGGAGGAACAGTCAAAGACAGATGAAGGCCAAGGACCACTCACGTTTGGCATAAAATACTCGCACTTTGTCCATCTCCGATTTGGCCACATGGAGCACCAGTCGGTACTTGGTGAAGAAGTCTTTGGGAGTCTGTGTGTTCAAGATCATTAAGGACATGTCCTTCAGGTCTGGAATGAGAAGGACAGGGTCTGAGTCCATTGGTTGGCAGGGCCCGTACAGACACATGGTTAATCTCCTGTTAGCCGCTCCCTTAACTGAGACATGCTACCCCTCCCACCCCATCCCCTGCCCTGGAGACCGCTCTGTTAAAATGCTCCACTTTCTTCATACTACTTCCAGTGTTTAACATGCTCTTTCTCATTTTGGGAAAGTGTTAGAGTTTTGGTCTTTTCTGACAGGGTAAGCTTGTCAAAGGCGGGGACCACACTGAGTTTGTTTGTTGCTGTGTCCTTAGTCCCTGGAAAGAAGCACCTAGAACAGTGACATGTGCATGGCAGGTACTACACATGGCAGGTTTCTTTCTCTACACTGCCCTGGGGAGCAGGAAGTGAAGTTGGAGAATTGAGGTGAACAATAACAACAAAGGTAACAAAGGTATGGAGAAGGTGACATTCTCAAGTAATAGTTTCTGATGGACTGGATGGGAGTTAAGGGACTGAGGGCTTTGGTGATTACTAGTTCAAGTCCTGGATTCATATGAGCTTGGAAAAGTTGTCTCAGTTCCTACTGCCTCAGTTTCCTTAAAAACAAAATAGGGCTGCGAAGGTTAATGTTACGTATCAACTTGGCTAAGCTGTGGTTCCTGGCGGTTTGGACAAATACTAGACTAGTTGCTGCTTCACAATGTAATCAATCATTACAAGCATGTAATGACTTTCCATAATGTAATATAGTGCAATTACATAATGTAATGTGATGTGATGTAGCCACATTCCACAATGTAATGTGCAATTACATTCTATAGTGTAATCTACTGCCATGTTATGATCTTCTATAATGTAATGTGATGTAGTCACATTCTATAATGTAATCTATAATGTAGTGCAGCTGAGAAGAGAGTTCCTTAGGCTGAGGTTTGCCTCCAGATCCTTAGACATTTGCTTTGATGAATCTCTCTTGCACTCCTCTCTTTACTTTGCACCCTTCCTTTTGTCTAACCTTCAGAGTTTGGGTTGCAGACCTATAGGAATCTCCAATCTGCCACTTGATCTATACATATTGGACTTGCCAGCTCCCACAATTGCACAAGCAGTTAAAGTAGATATATTTCTCTCTCTGTTTCCAGGTATACTGTTGTTAGATACCATGGAGTCAGCCTCAATTCACAGCAATCCTGTGCACGACAAAATGAAACCCTGCTCGACCCTGCACTGCCTCATGATTTCTGCATCCATTGCTATAGTCACTGTGTCAATGCATCTCACATTTTTGCTGATACATCTATCTCTCCTAACTAAGACAAAGGCTAAGAGCTGTATCCATCCTCAGCTGTGTAACTCTGGGTGAATTAACTTCTCTGTGCTTCTGTTTCTCTAGTCATAGAATAGGGTTGGGTATAGAGCATTCATCTTAACTTTTAAAGGGTCAAATGAGTAAATAATTCTGAAGTGCTCAGAGCACCACCTGGATCTGAAGCCTCCTATGCGTTTGGGGCAGGGCTTTCAATGAGAAAGTTTTGAGCTCTAAGTTTGACCTAGGAGCAGAAGTGTGAGTTGGTCAGGGTCAAGGACATGAGAACTGGCGTCTGAAAGAGATTGACATTGGTTCTAGCTCTTTTCTACTGTGTGGCCTTGGGAAGATCTCTTATACTCTTAAGACCTTTTCCCATTTCATCACCAGGGAAGTGGAGATGCCAAGAGATTTCAGAGGCTCAGGCCATGTGGACAAAGTCCTATTCCCACTAGTTATTGGAAGTCTTTACCTTTGCTGTCTTGCACCTCTTCATATTCGAAGTCCATGGTGGAGGATTTGGCTTTTTCTTTGTCACAGTTCACCAGCAGGATGGCGCCATATTTGCGAGGGCCCCAGGTCCAGGCCTTCTGTGGACACTCAGGAGAGAAGGGTACGCTTAGGAATCCACAGAGAGCTCCCCAACTCATGAGGAAGCAGACGCACCTTTTCCATCATCTCACCAGCATTCTGAGGGCTACACATACCCCTCCCAAACCAAGTATTTCTTTGGTCCCAAGAGTGGAATTCTGTCTGTCTACAAAGTCACAAACAACTGCCCCCAAAACGCAGCCCATTTAAAAAAAGTGCTGAAGTCAATAAAATGGGCTTTAACAGCCTTTTAAAACTGTTGACTTGACAAACCACAGCGGAGCTAAATATTAATGCCGAGATTTTAATCTAAATAGTTACTATGATGTGAACTCTTAATTACTCATTACCCAAGTGTGGGTCTATTCTTAGCAGCCAGGCACTGTCTGTTCAGAGATGAAAGCAAATTAAGTGGCCCCGCCTGGCAGAAGATCTAATAGTGATGACAGGTTCTGTTCCTAGGAGAACATTCGCCACTGGGGAAGGTTAGATTTTGAGTGACAAGAAGGTGGATTTCTCTCTCAGAGCTGTAATTTTCCCAGACTCCTCTTCTTGCTTCCCCACTCTTTCTCCCACTTTTGTTGGGCTCCACAATGAGATTGTAATTTTTTTTAACATGTCAGCACCAAGCCCAACCCCTTGCCATTGACTATTCTGTTTCATAAAACAGACTACTCTAGGGCAGAGCGGGGAGCGCCCACTGAGTAGTCTAAAGATAGTTGTGCTACTAACTCAAAGACTGAGCTGCTCTGGTGCCTTGAAGCCACTCCACAGGTGAGAATGAGGGACCGCCTCTTCATGTGTGATTTACAGCCTCATAAACCCACGGGAGGGCCAAGTTAGGAGTCAGAACCAATTTGAGGCAATGAGTTTGAGTTTTGAGGACCAAGCAGAACCAACTCATTGGATTTTTTCCAAGGCTGTAAATCTCTACAGAAGCTGACAGCTTCATCTTTCTCCAGTGGAACAGCTGATGGATTAGAACTGCTGGTCTTTGGCTTAGCAGCCCAGCGATTTGTCCACTGTGCCACCAGGGCATTCTCTCTCTCTCTCTCTCTCCCCCACTTAAGTCAATTGTGACCTCAGAAGATGCATATCAGTATAAAATTGAACTGGTTGTTTTGGGGGTCCAAGTACACTCTGAATTTATCCACATGCCCTGGGTGGACACAATTGCTCACACGACCTGTCTACACCCCCCACTATTCTACCTTTGCATGCACGCATGCTGGGTCCCACCTGGTTCCTTGTCTCTTTTACTCCCTTCTAATTCTGCTTTCTCTATCATCACACTCTGTGGGGAGGGGATTTTGACAGCCCCCACATGTCACCAATGGTTAAGTACTCTACTACTGGCCAAATGGTTGGCACTTCTAATCCACCCACAGGAGTTTTGTGAAACAGATCAAAGGGACCTGCTTCAGAAAGGTCACAGCATTGAAAACATTAACAGGGGGTGCCATGAGTCAGAATCAACTCAACAACAACAACAACAACAACAACAACAATGGGCTTTAATGCCAAAAAGATCTGCTGGAAAATCTTTTCTCATATTGCTTTGTGTTAGCTGATGACTATAGTTTCCAAGACAATATAAACTCTGAATCTACAGACAGGGAGAACATGGTCTCGTAAAAGAAATGGGGTGTACATAAACCAAAACAAAATGTTAATGGTGGTTTAAATCTCCCCTCTTTTTTTCTCCTCCTGCTTCCTAAATTGTCTCTCTTTGGCATACATGAGATAGACTGCAGTTCATTTCATCACCATAGGTGGCTGTCAGGAGAAGCCAGCAGAGAGAGCGCGTGCAGGACTATGGGTCAAGGTTGTGTGGTTGGTACCTGGTGGTTCATGGCTCTGGTGGGTTTTACTTTGCCTGTGCGGTTGATGTCTGCATGCAGGGAGATTTCTGAAATCCAAGCAAATAAGAGTTTTGGTGAGGGTGTGAGGAGAGGATACTCACCTGGCCTTGGATGGACAGATTCTTATTTCATGAGGCTGTTTGCACCAAGAATGGGGAGCATTGTTCCCTCTCCTTTCCTAGGAGACAGGTTCAAAGAATCCCTCTTCCACCAAGCCCCTCAAGAAATAAGCCTCTAATTCAGAGAGTAGAGCCAGAACTTTGGTCCATAACCTCTCTCTTTCAGGGGCCACAACTGTGAAGCAAATTAGACCCTGGCCACTCCCAAGAAAGAATCCCAACCTCCTTGATAGGAGATTCCACATGATGCAGGGACACCTCACTGGCTCTCAAGGTCTCTGGCTCCAGCTCCAGCCTCTAGTGACCTTGGCTTTTTATGTATTTAATATAAACTTTGTGGATGTGCTAATTATCAGGCCCAGAACATATGAAAATGTTTAGCTATTTAGCATATGTTTAAATAACAGTATGATTTATAGTATCATAAATTTTGTATCAAACATACATATCATAAATAGTTGTATCATGCTACAATCTCTGGTGGTTAAGTGATAAGGAATTGTGGAACACAAAGGTGAGTTGTTCGAGTCTACCAGCTGCTCCACTGAAAAAATACAGGCAATCAACTTCTGTGGAACTTGCTGTTTCTAAAACCCCCCAGAGAGTCAGCTATGGGCTGGTTCCAATTCTATGGCACACAACAACAACAACAACAACATCATCATGATTTTATTGCTCGGGATAAAGTCAAGTTCAAAAATGGATTTTATTTGAAGAAAAATTTTTAAAAGTATCTTTGCTGTAGAAAAAGGAGCTCTGATGGTCTAGTGGTAAGGAGTTGTGCTTTCAACACAACGGTTCAAGGTTTGAACCCACCATCTGCCCTGTGGGAGAAAAATGGGCAAACTGCAGCCTCTGGAAACCTGCTTCAGGATCACTTAAGAGTCAGTTCCAGCTCAATGACATATAATAACAACAGTTATGGAAAAAATGATAAAGGTGAAATTTACTACCTCTGGTTTATATTATTTAACTCTGGTTTATATCAGGACACCACCAATAGGTTTGTCACAAATTTTTGAGGTGTCAAAAGGTATAAAATAAAACCTGTTCCCACTGAGTTGACTTGTACTCACAGTGAATCTGTAGGGCAGAGTGGAACCGCCTCATAGGGTTTCCCGAGGCTTTAACTCTTCAGGCAGACTGTTGTGTCTTTGCAAAGTGGCTGATGAGTTCTCAAAGACCAGCTTTTTGGTGAGCAACTGGATACCTTAATCATAGATCCACTAGAACTCCTTCAGTAAGATAGAGACTCCTACATACATTGAAAAAATCCATGTAGTCATGAGCTAACTTGAAAAATAAAATATAATTGAAGGTCATCACAAATCACTCCCAACTGCATTTGTGTATGCTTTGCTGACTAGGGAGGGACTATCCCTATGACTATCTAGAGTTTTCCATTTTTCTCTGTTCTGACTACAGTAACCCTAGGGTGTAGCTAGATAGATGCCTTTAGAAGAATGTGTGTGTGAGTGCGTGCGTGTGAAGAGGGAGGCTGGTTTCCAAGATCTTGATCATTACTTACCCACTCCAGTGAGGTAGAGCAGAGCTCGGGTAGATTGAGACTTGAGTCCGTAGTATGAAATCCAAACCTATGGGACAGCAGCAGGCTATTATGACTCATTCAGCAAACACTGACTAGCCCCCTGCTACGTACTCATTCAGTCTCGGCATTGATGAGATAAAGTTGAGCAAGATACGGTCCCAGCCTACAAAGAGAGCCCCAACTGATGGAGGTGGAGGGCTAGCAAACAACTGAAAGAACTGTGAGAAGGTTCTATGGGAGCCCAGAGATGGAGTGATACCATTTGCCTGAGGGTCCCAGGGAGGCTTTAATGAAGAGGTCCGCTTTGAGGGGCTCCTGCACAGTACATAGGAGTTTAGTGACTAGAGACACAGTGGAAGAGACATTAAAGGGAGATGGTTGGTTAAATGACAGAAAGTGACCCTGCCAACAAGGATTAAAGAAATACCCAACAGATCAGACTTCATAGAGACCAGAGTTCAAACTCTGGAGAATCTGAGGAACAGGAAGTTTGAATTGGTGGCAGTGTTTGCACGGTGAGTACTATTGGGATTTCCCCAAAGTTCAGAATCCAGGAACACATCTGGTTGACTCAGCCTGTCCAGAGGAGAACAGAGTACTTGCGTTGACACTTAGAAACAAAATCGCAATGGGAAGATCTATCTCCAAAGCAAACTCTAAGAACTGCCACCAGAAGAAGAGGAACTCTTGAAGAGTCTGATGGAACCCACTGAAGACATGCCCTGCAGAGAGTGGGAATCCAGAGAAAGAGCATGGCTCCTGTTGCTTCTCCTACAGACCAAGGCATCAGTCTCCTGATTGGTCTTCCTTCCTCTGCTCTAATCCCTAGAGCCTATCTACTTGCTGCACTTGAGTCTGTAGGAGCTTCCTGATATACAAATGTTATTCCCTGGCTGAAAAATTTCCATTGGTTCCTTGGTGTCCTCAAAGGACGAGGCCCATAATGCCGATCTCTTTATACTAGTTTTCTCTCTCACTTACTTCCTTACTTCCTTCCCTGTCCTCCCGTCTTGCCATATAGAACATCCTCATTTTATCCTACTATATCTCACCCTCTGCTCATCCAGCATATGTACTCAGGCCTCCTCTTCCTCTATGTAGGCCACTCACTTACATGGATCTTACTAGCTAGCTCTTACGTTGCCACCTCTTCCAGGAAGTGCTCTCACCCTGTGCTCCCACAGCAGGTGACAACTTTTTGTTTCCAGAAAGGAGTCCCCTTGCCTCATATTGCTGAAAGCAAGAAGCCATTGACTTAGATCTCTTGGTGAGAAAGAAGAGTGGTGGGTTCAATGATGGTCCCCTAAAGGCATGTCTGTATCAGAATTTCTATGACTGTTAGAACCTGTAAGTGTTGAGACTTGTAAATGCTGCCTGTTTTGGAAACAGAGTACTTGCAGCTGTAATTAGAATCTCGAGATGAGGACCTTATAGTGGATGATGCTGGTGAGCTCTGAGCACATGTTCTCATAATGACAGTGTCTTTATAGGAGCGAGGAGGACGGAGACAGCACAGAGCTGAGAAGGAGCAGAATGACCATGGAGACTGAGATTAGAGTTCAGCCATGAGTCCACAAACACTAACAGCGAACAGAGGCTGGAAAAGGTGCAAAAACGAATCTCCCCTCGAGCTTCCAGAGGGAGTGTGACCTTACCAGCCCTACATTTTGGACATCTGACCTCTACAACAGGGAAAGAGTAAAATGTTATTTCAAGTCAACAGTCTGTAGACATTTATTAGAGCTGTTGTTGTTGTGATGTCAAGATGGAACTGATTAATAGCTTTTCAGAGGCTGTAAATTGTGTGGAAGGAGATTGCCCATCTTTCTTCCACGTAGCAACTGGTGGATTTGAACTTCTTGCCTTTGGGTTGGCAGCATAACTTCTTACCATTATGCCACCAAAGCTCCATTAGAGCAGCCACAGGAAACTAATACAAGGAACAGGGACCAGAGTTCCCCGGGGCTTTTGACCTGTGGCCTTTAGAGCGCCCACTACCATTGGAATTCTTCTTTATTTACCTCTATGTCTTCTGATGTCCTCATTCATGCATGATGAGCACATGAAGGCTGCAATTTCATAGATCTTGTTTGTTTCTAAATTCCATTGCCTCTTAGTGCCTGGCATGCAGTAACTATTTGCTAAACATTTGCTGAAGAAATGCATTTTATCCAAGTCCTGACATCCTAATCTTCCTGTCCAGGAGGATGCTATGACTGGAACAAGCCATCATGAGCTTCTCAGAGGGAAGAAAGCTCTGCCAGGGCTGGGACTGTGGATTGAGGCAGTGCAGACTGTGAGGAGCTCCTTCCATACCCCCCACCTCACAGTTACACACTCACCTTCTGGTCACCTGTGCTGCTGCTGGAGGCTTTCATCTCTATGGTCACCTCTAACCTAGGGTCCAGAGGCCATTTGGAGGGACCTGTGGGATTCTTCTTGAGTGGAGGGACATGAGAAACATTCACCACCACTTCTGGGGAAGCAGTGATACTGAAGGATGTGCAACCCTTAGGGGCAGAGCTGTGGAAGAGACAGGCAGAGGGACAGAGAGAGAGAACCAGTGAGGAAGAGCCTGGTGCTTCCTATGCTCCACAGGATCCCGCCATCTTCTGGCAGATGTAAACACCACATGGGAACCAGCAGTTACCTTGATCATGGGGATAAATACTTTGAGGTTGTCAGGTGTCATGAATTCAATTATGTTCCCCAAAATACATGTATATGGTGATATAATGTGGAAGCTGTGTCATGATCCCCCACAATTCTGATAAACCAAATAGTTGAAAGAGGATTAAGAGTGGAATACAAAACTCTCTAATCTCATCAGAGACCTAATAAAATGTAAGCAGAGATCTGTAATATTCCGCTTATGTTTACTACGTCCTGAAATTCCTTTTATTTCATTAAAGAGGAAAGCAAGCTGAGGGGGAGACCTTTAGAACAACCAAGAAATAATTGCCAGGAGTAGAACATGTCCTTTTTGGACTTGGACTTCTGTGTAATGAAACTCCTGGACATATAGAGGCCAAAACATATGGGTGTCTGCAGGGAACCCTGGTCTCACAGATTCAGAAGGAAACAAGGACTTTCCCCCACAACCAACCGAGCACGAGAGACTTTCTCTAGAGCTGGTAACCTGAACCTGAACTTCTAGCGGTGGGAGAATACATTTCTGTCTATTGAAGGCATTCATTTGTGGAATCTGTTACAGCAGCACTAAATAACTAAGACATCACGAGGTAAGTAGAGACATCCCTGGTCTGAAGGGTTTCTATGTGAATTCAGAAAGTACTAGAGAGATGTGTACTTCACCCCCCACACACAAGGATACATGCATAGAGTGACGTGCATGCGCGCAGATTTGTTGCTCTTGTTGTTATTTGCCCTTACTTCAGAATCAAATTCTAGCTTCAGTGGGGGTTTTCAGAGGCAGTAAATCACACAGAAGATTGCCCATCTTTCTCCCTTGGAGCGGCTGGTGGATTTGAACCACATGCCTTTGGGTTGGCACTGCAGCTCTTTTGTCACCCACCCGATCACTAGAGCTCTCTACGCATACACATGTGCATATACAGGGTTGTACATACAGAACAGCACATAGACTTCTGCTTCTGGGATTATGGCCGATCAGACATGCTGAAGGACATTCCTCTTACAAAACAATGGGGACATTATTAAAACATACTGTTCAAGCTGTTGCTCAGATCATGAGAAGGAACAGAAATGTCTAAGGAATCTCTTCTCTGTGTGTGCTCATGCATGCTCCTACAAATGTATGACAGTTCAACGAAAGACTATCAGGCACAAGAAGAAGATCTTCAAGGCATCTAGAAGCAAAATCAGGTTACCTGTAAAGGTATACTAATTAGATTGAAAGGAGACTTTTCAAGGGCAGCCATGTAATCCAGGAGACAACCTATATAATATACCTTCAAAGAGTTTGAGAAAGAAATAGCTACCAATATAGACCTGTGCACCCAACCAAACTTTATTCTAATAAAGAATTTTTCTCACCCATTCACACCCATCAAGTAATTTCTGACACTAAGCGATCCTGTATGAGGTGTACAGGGCTGTTAACCTCAACAGGAGGAAAGTTCCCGTCTTTCTCTTGAGGATGTGCTGGATCACAACCGTCAAGACGTAAGCCCTTTGGGTTAACAGCACAACTCGCTGGATTCTGCCACCAGTGAAATTTGATATTAAAACCAACAGATTTTAACCAAAGCAACTACTAAAGACATACTTTGTTGTTGTTATGCGCCATTAAGTTAGAATCAACTCATTGCTGGTTCTCCAGTGGGTTTTCAGAGGCTGTGAATTGCAAGGAAAGAATTGCCTATTTTTCTTCCATGTCTAACTGCATACCTATAAGACCTATTAATACCACTATCATTCAAATTTATGCACCACCAACCAAAGTCAAAGAGGAAGAAATAGATGACCTCTACCAACTGCAGCAGTCAGAAATAGATCGGGCATGTGACCAAGATGCATTAATAATAATAATGGGTGACTGGAATGCAGAGATTTGGAACCAGAAAGAAGGATCAGTAGTTGGAAAGTATGGACTTGGTGACAGAAATGAGGCTGGGGATAGAATGACAGAATTCTGTACAATGATTTATTAATATAAAATACCTTTTATAAGAAACATAAATGTAGCCTGTACACATGGATATTACCTGATAAAATACACAGGAATCATATCTATTGCATCTGTGGAAGGAATCACTGGAGAAGTTCACCATCAGCAGTGATAACTAGGCCAGGTGGTGATTGTGGAAAAGACCACCAACTACTCATTATGCAAGTTCAAATTAAAGCTAAAGAAGGTTAAATCATATCCACAGGAAT